AACGTTATTCATATAAACAGGCAGCAGGCTAGATCTGACCCTCAGAACACCAACGGCAGAGCCTGAAGACAGGCTTGAGTCTTGATGTGACCAAGGCTGGTATTGCATGGAAGTCAATGTGGGAGGAAGCTTCAGGGATGGATCCCATGCTGGGGTCAACTTAGAAGCTGGGTTGTAGGTGAGTGACACAAAGAAGAAGAAGTATCTACTTACGTACAAACCAGCTACAAGGGATCATCATTCCAATGATATTGGCAGATAATAGGTAAAAAGGTGGGATGTGCTATGTACTTAGCATAAAATTATGAGATGTTATAGATGAATTTCATATTCAGGTACTTAAAGCCAATTCCCCAATGAGAAAACTAGGAGAATCCCTGCGCCAACGCCTCTGCTGGTAACTATCTAGGCTCTGTGTATATTACAGCAGCAGACATCATTTTACAAGATTCCACTTACCATTGATTCATAGCTCTAACTATTGGTAATTGATTTTCTCTATCGAGCCAGAATGTGTTTCCATTTGACTGTTACCTAATCAACATATTCCACGTTAATAGTCTTTCAGATGTTTGAAGGACATTGCCATGCACATTTTCCCTGGGTTTCTCTCCTTTGGCCAACTAGTCCTCCCTCCCTTCCTTTGGGATGAATAGAATGGAATGGAGATGGTACACACCCATGATTTTTAGGATGCCTACAATATATGCACACACACACACACACACACACAGAGCCCTACAATAAACTCCTGTGGGCCTCTATTAGGAATCTCTATTTTGTTCATGATAATTAATATACAACCATACATTATGTGTGTTAATAAATTCTCTATATAAATACCTAATATTCTTTCCTTTGCAATGTGACTTGGCCTCCTAATCAAATATGATACTTTGTCAGAATGAAGAAATACATAGGCAATCACAAAGTATGGCAGAAGGAGCAATCTGGGTTTAGAGGATGAGAAGTCAGAGATGTCATGTGGAGTTATATCTTTATCTAAAATAAATAGCTCCTAGATGGTTCTCTATATATGGCAGGTGCTCAGGACACATTTTGATGATTAATTAATTAATAATATATTTAATAGCGTTAATATATGCTGACACTTACTAACACAGGTCACAGAACTCCTGCCCACATTTCAGAACCTCTCCAATCAAGTTGGATATTGGCTGAATAGATATGTTGGGGGGAAGACATATATTTGATTGTCAATTATCCCATGCATGCATGGTTCATGTTAATTTTAAAAGACAAAATCATTTTTCAAGTTTTTCAAAATTGTCATATTCTTGTCAGTTTCTATGTCATAATTTTATAAATTCTCTGGTCTTTGCATTTGCTCATTTAGAAACAACAGAAGCCTTTTCACAGTATCTCCTGTCCATTATCAACTCACTGGCATCCTGTTTACTTTTCAGAGTCTTGATGCTATTTGACTTCCTCCTTAAGGCCTTATTTGTCACATTCCATCAGAATTAATTGTTCCTTTCTCAGCACTCCCATGGCAAAACTTGTATTTAGCAAATTAATTTTCTCATGGTTTACTTATTTATTTGCTTATATCTCCCATAAAGGTTTAAGTTCTCAGTAGCAGTTACTATTTCTACTGCATCTTTGAACATTCCCTGGGCCTGATTCAGCACCTTGTACAAAGTACGTGCTCAAACCACGTTCAACGGCATCTAATTGCCTCCCGACATATGGCTTCAGCAATCTGACATTCCATGTTTGATTGCGGACATCTCGGCCATGCAAAGTGTTGTACAGGATGTATTTTTCAAAATTAAGGCTAATTAAAATTAATTTTCTTCTGAGAGTCATTTTAGAATTTCACAAGAACCTGTGTGATAATTAGTGACACTCAGGGGTGTCGCCAAACCTGGAGTAGTAGTCACTGTTCCATCAAACAGGACCCCCGAAGTTGCTCTCAGGTGGCTATTAATTTCACTGACTGCAAAATGTGTCAAGGTTTATTAAGTGAAAATCTCATAAAGGTTTGCAAATAAAGTAGTGCTTATGCAATATAGATAGTATGTGGTTCAGTTCCCTTAAGCAGAAGAGAATTAATAAACAAAGTAAAATAGCAGTGTGTTTATTCTCAGGAGTGTCCTTCAAGGATGGTGATGGGAAGTATGGAGCACTTAATTCTCGCATTTAAGAGAAATACAGCATGAAGTGTATGGGAAGGTAGTGTCAATTTGAATCTTTTGGACTTGTAATGAAATAAAAAAGATGGCTCTGTGTTCACACATAAATTATACAGCAATCAATATTTTAATTTTAGCTCTCCTGAAATATAATTTTTCTTCTTATCATCCTTCATTTCCAATATAGTCAGAGGGTTACTCAAGCCAACTGGAATATGAAAGAGTGAATACCTCAAGGACCAAAATCCTTCACTGAATCAAGGAGCCCTTGGAGGTAAGCCCTGGTGAGAAGAGGTGTTGAATTACCCGGGGTTGGAGCTATTATGGTATGGAGAGAGGCAAAGGGTAACACTTCATTAAAGCTAAAATGTGAAAAGCTGTGGATTTAATTGAATTAAATGACAGCACACATAGACAGAGCGAGAAAGCTTTCCCATAGAATCAGTGCTCTCTGGAGGGAGGGAGTTTAATTCTTACTGTCATCAGGCTGAGGGAAAGTGTGGCCCCAGTTAATTTCATTTCTCTCAGGGGGGGGCAAACGTATCTGGGCGGTGATGGGCATACGGTTTAGTGAAAGGAAGCTGGTGGCTTTCTGAGATGCCTATGCACTTAGGAGACAGGCTGCCCCGGTATCAGATCATAAGGATGAACTTAGTGGGCAAAGCCTGAAATAGCCCGAAGAATGTACCAGAATAATGAGAACCACTGCTGTTTTATTGAAGTGTTTAAACGTCTGCTGCCCGAGTCATGCCATAGATTGGCCATAGATTGGCAGCATAGATGGTCCAGTAGCTGTCACCCCAGGGAGGCTGAACAAGGAAGATTTTACTGCCCCGTTAGTCTAAGGAGCAGAACGTGTATATATAAAAGGAGAGAGGGAAAATTAATACCATGAGATTTAGTGCACAACTCATTTAGTTTTAGAAGCTTACTTTTAGCTTGAAATATAACTAAGAGCAGAGAAGAGCAAAAGCACCTTTAGAAATGAGAACTGTTGGGTGCTTGGGTGGCTCAGTTGGTTAAGTGACTGCCTTTGCCTCAGGTCATGATCCTGGAGTCCCGGAATCGAGTCCCACATCGGGCTCCCTGCTCAGCGGGGAGTCTGCTTCTCCCTCTGACTCGCCCCCCTCTCATGCTCTCTATCTCATTCTCTCTCTCAAATAAATAAATAAAATCTTTAAAAAAAAAGAAATGAGAATTATTTAAGCTAAGTCAAGAATCCAATAGTGTTTTAAAAGCCATTAAATTATGCATTATCTCTCTGTCTTCTAAAAAGAAAAAGAAAACACAAAACAATACTTCCCATGATAAAAGGACTTCTATTATTTGGCCAAACTTTTTCTAATTTGATGGCAGATTTCCTCATTTCAAATACAGGTATCCCCTGCTTTTCAAAAGTTCCTGTTATGTCCTTTTGCTTTATAAAAGACCTATATTAGTATCTGTTTTCACTATCAGAAAGAAATCCAAAAAGGGTTTTCACTTTTCCAAAAAAAGGTGAAAAGCAAAAAGACCTTCAGCGTTTGTTTGCGGTGCCTCACACAGAGGCAGAAGGCACCCTGAGCAGTGAGCCTGGCCTCCCCAGCTCCTTCCCCCATGAACTACACTCAGCATCTCAGCAGCGAGCCACCGGAGTGGTGAGCTGTCTGTGAGCATCTGGGCTTTATCTGGATTTATTTTGTGTATCCATTAGCAAGATGTGTCCTAAGGTATCAGAAAAGCCTAAGATAGGTTATTATTTGTGGTCTGGGAATGCTAAAAAAATTTTTTCCATATATACTAATGGTAATTGCTTCTTTGCTTTTACACCATTTTGGCTTAGGAAGTTTCAAAGGAACACTCTACTTTTGGATAGTGGGAGAAACCTGTATGCACACAGTACAATATTTTGTATTTTAAACTATCTCAATGGTATTCAAGTCCCAACATGCTAAGAATGCTTAATACATTTTAAACCAATTAATTTGGTATAAATGAAAAAATTAGACACATCAAAAAAATTAAAAAGTTGCTAATTAGTTTCCACTATGTTTGGAGAGGAGAAAGTGGGAATCTTGAAATAAAATTATTGATACAAATGAGAGCTTTACTATGTCCCCTTTGAATGGATAGAATTCCAAATTGAAGAAAAACATGAAATTAATAATTTCTTCAAATTGCAGCTATGTTTTCTTAAGCGCTTTATTATATTATTTACTCCTTTGATAGGTGTAGTTGAAAGAGAGGATATCTGAAAAATGTCAAGATCATACAGCTAAGCAGAACTTTCCAATCATCATCATCATCATCATCCTTTATCGTATAATGAAGTGTCTATTCCCATTCCATGAAAATGATAACATGTCTTTCCTATATATAACACTGTCCCAATATGTTGTGCACATTAAATGCATATATAAACGGAATTTTTAAGAAAATGAGAATAAAATTTCATAAACAATAATTTAAATACCTTTACTTCATACATTAATGATTCAAATCATATCAATAACATTCTCTGAAAAGAAAAACATGATTAAATATACTTCATTAATTTTGAAAAAGAAAATTTAATGATCTGGTGTAAACAAGTTAAGGTCTAAATGTGGGTTAATATTGATATTTAGATTTAATATCTACATTGCTTAGTCATTTTGTTGTTGATTAATATAATTCCTTCTTTCTTTCCTGATGTTCTTGTTCTTGTAAATTTTGTGAATTAGAAATTTTAAACTAATGGCTTCAACTCTATCAAAATTTTCCATTTAGTAGATTTTCGAACAGTTTAGATAGGGTGGATAGTTTTAAAATGTGCTTGCCCTCTGACTGCCGCCAATCGCCAGTGCATTCTGCACCCCCCCAACCATGCCCGCGGACGTGTCCTGGGCCACCTGCCTTGAAAATGTTCACTGCCAGCCTCTTGACCATGTGCGCCGGGGCCAAAGCGGTGCACAGGTACTCCTGGCCGGACCTGACAATACCTGAAATTCCACCAAAGCCTGGAGGACTCAAAACGGAACTTTTGGAACCGAAAAAGAGACAACATGAACCTCAAATTTCTCAACAATAGAAACCTCAAAATACTTAACTCTGCCAAGAACTCCGTGAATAATATTATAAGTATTAAATATATATTTTTAAAGTTTATTGAGTCAAACTGGTTGTCTTTAAGCATCTAATGCAATGCTAACTGCAAGAGGTGCCCAGGTGTTAACTGATGCATTGAGATTTAATTATGGATTGACCAGTGTTTCTTGAAAACTGCCAAAGTTTATATCATCAGCTTTTTGAATGTGTTTGAATAGATACTTAGTCTTGGATATCATGTGAGAATGAATATTTACAGTGTTTCCTGCCCTTATAATTCTGGTTTATTTCTATGAATAAGCTTGACTAGCATGACAAATGGGAATTATAAATTAACTATAATAAAAGTGTCATTGACAATGAAAAAAATAAAATAAAATGTGCAGGTATGTAGAGACACACTTTGCCATATGATGATCAATGAACCTCTGGATATTAATAAAATACTTTCACAGCCACTTCCTCTCAGTGCGAAGTACTGAAATATTCTAAATAATGTTATAGCTCTTGTTTTTGTAACATCATTGCTTTGACTGTATCTTGTACAGATTTATTCTTTCTTTTAATATTTTTGTCAGGCTTTGATATATTTTCTATGAGGGCCTCACAAAATATATTAAAGAATGTCCCTTATTTTTCTATATTATGAAAGAGTTTGGAAAGATTGGTATTATTTCTTCTATGTAAGTAAACTACTGAGGGCATTACGCTAAGTGAAATAAGTCAGCCAGAGAAAGAAATACTGGGTGATATCACTTATATGTGAAATCTAAACAAAACAAACTCATTGAAACAGAGATTAGAATGGTGGTTAGCTTATAGTAGGAGTAGCCAGATCCTAGATGCTCAATGAATGTTGATTAAGGTACCAAGAGGCACTGGACTCCTGGATAGAGTTGGAGATTGACAAGGTTTCAAGGAGAACAGTTTTGCTTTTAGCCATTTTAGCTTGTTCTGAAGTTGTTCATTTAAATTCTTACCTCTGAATCTCCACATTTCTCGTGCTCGCTTCGGCAGCACATATACTGAATCTCCACATTTCTCATTTTCTTCATCCATAATATAAGAATAATCACCTTCTTGATATGCCTTGCAAAGATTTTGTGATGTCTAAATCATGTTAAAATAAACCAATCTATGCCTAAAGAAAGAAAAAAAAGCATGGTGATTAGCAAGGGCTGGGAGGTTGGGAGAAAGGGGAAATGTCGGTCAAAGACTACAAACTTCCAGTTATAAGTTGAAATAATTTCTGGGCATCTAATAATGTACAGCATAGGGATTATAATTAATAATACTGTGTTATGTACTGGAAAGTTGCTAAGAGAGTAGATCTTCAATGTTACACTTCACAAAAAAGAAATGGTAGTTAGGTGACATGATTTAAGTATTAGCTACTGCTGAGGTGGTAATCATTTTGCAATATATGTGTCTCAAGTCAACACGTGTACACCTTAAATATATACAATATTATATGTCAATTATACGTCAACAGAGCTGAAAAATATTTTTATCCTGTAAAAAAAAAAAATTGACCAAATGAGCCTGGACTTTTCTTTGGGTAGAGGTTTTTTATTCAAATTCAACTTGTTGAAGATAAACATATTTAAGAAAATATTTTATTAATTGTGTCTTATGTTAATTTGGTAAGTTGTATGTTTGAAGGGATTTGTAATTCATTTAAGTTGTTGGAATAAAATTGTTCATAAACACATATGTTTATGTGTTTATGTATACAACATAAATTACAACGTATAGTTTTAAAAATATCTTTATTATGTGTAAAGCTATTTCAATTTTCTTCCTGATGTTGGTGATATGTGCTTTATTTTTTCTTTTTCTTTTTTTATCAGCCTTGCTAAGAGTTTATTACTATTATTATTTTCCAAAAACCAACTTTTGACTGTTAACTTTATGTTTGCTTTCTTTTTTCCATAATTTCTGCGCTTTCTTTTTTCCTTCTTTGCATGATATCCTTCTTTTCATTTGCTTTGGGTTTATTTTGCTGGGTTTTTTTTTTTTTTCTACTTCCCTAAGAAATATAATTAGACCATGGATTTCTAAATTTCCTTATTTTTTCATACATGCATACACAGACATAAATTTATTTGTATCCAATGATTTAGTTATATCCTATATTTATATTTGGCTGAGTTAAAGTTCATTAATACTGTCTTCTGCAGCCTTCAATCTACTATTAAACATAAGTGAAATTTTCATTTCACTTGTTTTAGTTTTCAGATCTCAGATATCCATTATCCTTTTTTAAGAATGCACCTTTCCTGCTGAGTTTCTCAGTCATTTTGCTCTTTATGACCTTATTTTCCTTTAATACCTGGAGTATGTTTATTATAACTTCCTTAAAAAACATTATCTGCTAATTCCAATACCTGGGTCATTTTGTTTCTATTGGCTGCTCTTTTTCATGATGTTAGGTCATATTTTCTGGTCTTTTCACATGGCTAGTAATTGTTTAATGTTATGCTACACACTGGTTATGGTAAGTGTAGGTATTCTCTCTCTGTCTCTCTCTCTATATATATATATATAAAATATATATTATTATATATTATGTTATTAATATATAATAACATATATATTAATTCAGTGATTTTTGTTTAGGAGGCATCAAATTACTTTAGGTATACCATGCTTTTTCCGCCCTTCTCTAAAAAAAAAAAAAAAACTTGTTATATAACGTCTATTTTAATTTTGAAGGTAGTCCTATGTGATAGCTCTTCCTCTGTTGTTTGATCTTCTTTCTAAACTGTGACCTTCCTGTAATCTCAGTTGAGTGCTCAGCGAGATGAGCCAATAGCTGGAGTGACTGTGGGCTCACCGCGCTTCTCTTAATTATCGCAATCCTAACTCACCTAGTGTTCAACATTTGTAAAGAATCAACTTATATGCTGTCTCTACTTTGATACTTACTTTTTAGAAGGCAAATGCAGAATCAGTTACTTTGTCATGGCCAGAAGTGGGAGTTCTGCAAAAATCCATTAAGTAATTTGTCATATTTTGAGGTAGTGTTTTCTATAAAGCCATGTAATCCTTCTTTGTGCAATTTCTTGGCAAGACAAACCATCTGAGGTACAGAAAAAGAGAGAACAGTTGTCAATCACTTATTAAATGTTAATAAAGCTTAAATTCTTTCTAATGTTAGATATGCAATAAGTATGAAAATCAATTATAATATTTTCCTTCCACAACTCAATGCATTGCATGCTGTGAGAGCACTGTACTGGGGAAGTCATTAGATGGAGCGATAATCCACTTTCATTTGCTGTGAATAAATTCAACCTCAGAATTTCAGATATGGATGTGGGTACTTGTAATGACAATGATTTCATTAGCTGTTTTTGTTACAATTTCATTACTTCTTTAGGGCTTTATTGTTTCTCATTTCCTATCTAATAAGTTATCATGTTTCCACATTAGAAAACTTTCTTTAAATAGAAAAGTTAAGTTTAAAAAATAAAGTGTCATATTTTTGTTAAAGTAACTTTTGAAAGCATTTATTTTTAAAAAACAAAATAATACTTTAGAATAGGATTTAAATTTCCAAATGCGACTTTATATATGGAAGTCCTTTGAATCTTTCAATTGTCCTTCCAAAGTGATCAACAAGTTGTCTTCTTAAAAAATAAGAATTCTTGGGGCACCTGGGTGGCTCAGTCAGTTAAGGGTCTGACAGTTGATTTCAGCTCAGGTCTTGATCTCAGGGTCATGAATTCAAGCCCCGTGTTGGGCTCCATGCTGGGCATGGAGCCTACTTAAAAATAAAATAAAATAAATAAAAATTCCAGGGCACCTGGGTGGCTCAGTCGGTTGGGCGTCTGCCTTCAGTTCAGGTCATGGTCCCAGGGTCCTGGGATCCAGCCCCACATCAGGCTGCTCCACGGGGAGCCTACTTCTCCCTCTCCCTCTGCCTGCCACTCCCCCTGCTTGTACACCTGCTTGCTCGCTCTCTGTCAAATAAAAAAATAAAATCTTAAAAAAAAAAATAAGAATTCTGTAAGTGCAGGAGACACTTACTGAGTGCTCCTTTTTCTGGAAAATTGCCAAGTCCCTAATCCCTATGATTTAAAGTGATCAAATCTGACATATATTTTTACAAGATATAGTGCATCCTGTCTAAGGTAGATTGGAAGAGGGATAAGGACCTGTTGCAAACTTGGCTGGTCTTCATCCTTACCCTGTGATTAAGATGAAGAAAAAAAACTTCTCTCCAGCCCTTGCTCTATCTGGTGGTTATATAAGTCTCCGTGTTTTCTTGTGTATGAATTTAATTTTAGGAAGATATCTACAGAGAAAGAGGGAAACAAAAAATTATAGAATTAGGGGCGCCTGGGTGGCTCAGTTGGTTAAGCGGCTGCCTTCGGCTCAGGTCATGATCCTGGAGTCCTGGGATCGAGTCCCACATCGGGCTCCCTGCTCAGCAGGGAGTCTGCTTCTCCCTCTGACTGTACCACCTCTTATGCTCTCTCTCTCTCATTCTCTCTCTCAAATAAATGAATAAAATATAATCTTTAAAAAAATTATAGAGTTAATAAAAAAGAACTTTAAGAATAAACATGGTAAGTAGGTGTGAGTTCATTCCTAAAAACTAATGTTTCTCCTACCTTTGATTTTGTAAAACTTTCTGATAGTCTAGTAATAAATTATTTTTACTCCTCCCAAAGCTTCCTTTCAGTTTTGTTCCTTTTACTTATAAACAAAAGAATTCTAATTAAGGATTCATTTCCTTATGCCTTAAATTTTTGTACATTAAAATTAGTAGTGTTAAGAACTCACTGTCACTCTCTTTCAGATTCCATTAGATAAAAGAAATACCTAATTCCGTAAATGAAATAGTATCTTTTTGAACTGCTATAAAGGGAAGGAAAAAAACCCTTAATTGATTTCATTGATTTAAATTTTCAATCATGTATTTTACCCATTACAAATAATGCTCAATTTTAAGTGAATAAATTCTTTTCACTTTAAGACCTGTTAAAAAGTCACATTCTCAATAATTTTCCACTTTCTTCTATATGCACAAAATATACCTTAATTTTTTCTCAAAAATAGAAAATAAATTGCATTAACTTACTTTACTACTAAGCCAATTTAAAATTAATTAACACTTATTAGGTTCTAATCAGAGAACTATATCTGAGTATGGTCTCCTTGTCCTTGATAAAATCATGAACAATAAAGGTAACAATTTACCCAAATTCTGACATGTTTCATTCCCAGAGGTTTTAGTTGTTAGCAATAAAATATATAATATTCTTATTCTTTAGCTATGATTAAATATATATTTATGAATGTAGATATATGAAATATATATTATTTGTTTGCATGTGGTTTGCATTATTCCTTTAGGATATTTATA